TTTTCTGTACTAAAAGTTAAACCTCAGATCAAAAACAGCAGCAAGCATCAAGCTACTATACGAGTTAGTAACAATATCAGGAAAATCATAGAACAACAGGGAGATCGGCTATACATCAGTTCGTTTAGTTGCAAAGTTTATGATCAATTTCATGTAAAACGATGCAACAACTGCCAAGGTTTTGGACACTACAGGTCGGAGTGCGAATCAGAAAAAGCTATTTGTGGTTATTGTTCCAAGAATCATACGTCAGAAGATTGTCCAGAAAAGAAAACTAATAGTCGTATTTCATGCTGCATTAACTGCTCTAAGGGCAAGTATCGGGATGAAAGAAACACACACACGGCATTTGATAGGACATGTCCAGCTTATGTTGCTGAACAGCAGCATCTCCGCAAAACTATCAATTACTACAGTTCAAAAAACTTGTAAGCAGTGGTCTGAAATCCTCTCCGGCGGAGATTCTTGGCTGTTGCTGGAATGTGAGATCTCTCAATAATAAGATTCAACCAATCATGGAATCTATAATCGACCAAGGAATCTCTGTCCTTTTTGTCACTGAGACTTGGCTCACCAGCATGAAGAATGATGTTACTGCTACCATCAAGTCTTACGGCTATAACTTGATTCACTACATCAGGAAAGACTCCGCTAAATGCAGAGGCGGAGGAGTTGGAATTATTTACAATTCAAGTGATTTGAACCTTACTCCTGTGTTTGATAAGTGTGGAGATACGTTTGAAGCAGTTTTAGGCAAATTTCGAGACTCATCGGGTGATACTGTCCTCTGTGCTTGTGTTTACCGACCAGGGTCATTGACTGATGTATTTTTTGAAGATTTGGATGAGTTTATTGGGAACATATTCATGAAATACAAGAAGTTTTTAATCTGTGGTGATCTTAATATTCATTTGGATGATCATAAATCAAGAAACACGGCCAAACTGACTGAAGTATTGGCCAGCTATGGACTGCATCAATACGTGAGAGATCCAACTCACAACAAAGGACATATTCTGGATGTTGTAATCTCCTCCCATCAGATAGTCAATCCAAAGAGTGTCACAGTAGACTCGCACACCTCGGAAATGTTCCCAAACTGTGACCATTTCCCGGTTACTTTTAGCCTCACAAAAACAGTTGCAAGCAATCTCAACAAGAAAAAAGTTATCACATTCAGAAATGTCAAAGAAATTGACAAAAATTGTTTTGCGGATAATCTTGCTGAGGAATTGGTTACTGTAATGGATCCTGAGGGTCTATCACAAGCTGAAATGCCGTCATTTGAAAGCCGCATCAGCCTATACAACTCTAAGTGCCTAACTGTGCTGAATAACCATGCTCCTCTCCTCACAAAGGAAATCAAAGAACGTAAGTCTGCCCCTTGGTTCGATGGTGAATATAAAGCACTTAGAAGCCAAAGAAGAAAAGCCGAGACAAAGTGGAAAATCTCCGGATCTTTAACTGACAAGAAACACTATGAATCAATCAGAGAGCAGTGCACAGAACTCTCAGACAGGAAGAAACATGAGTTTTTCAAAGTCGAATTCATAAAGCATTCCTATTCTTCTAAGAGTCTTTTTAGATTTGTGGACACCTTTCTTGATCGGGATAAAAGCATTGTGTTGCCTTCGTCGGAGTCTCTCAAGGACACAGTCGAAAACTTTAACGTATATTTTCAGGAGAAAATAAAGGCAATACGAAATAACTTTGATCATGTGGAGTCTGACGATCAAACGCCCTCTTACTGCGGAGAAAAACTAGCTGAGTTCTCTCCAACTACTCTAGAAGAACTAGAGGAGATAATCAAGGCATCTGAGATCAAGTCTTCTTCAATTGACCCTCTACCTGCAAACATCTTTAAAGAAAACCTTGAGGTTCTACTACCCGTCTTAGTTGACATAGTAAATGCTTCATTATCTTCTGGCAGTATTGATGGCGCTAAACTAGCTCATATCACACCCCTGATCAAGGGCCAGGGATTAGATAGTGATAATCTCAAGAATTACAGACCAATATCTAATCTTAGTTTTGTGGGCAAGTTGATAGAAAGAGTAGTCCTCAGGCGTCTAAATGAACATCTCGAAAACAACAACCTGAACATCCCACAGCAGTCTGGATACAAATCAAAACACAGCACCGAGACTCTGCTTGTGAGAGTTGTTAACGATCTACTCATTGCATCTACAGAAAGCAAGGCAACTGTTGTTCTTCTCCTAGATCTCAGCGCAGCTTTTGATACAGTTGACCACTGCAAACTACTGAACATCCTCAGAAATGAGTTGGGAATAACAGGGACAGCTTGGAAATGGTTCAGCAGCTTCCTCACAGGTAGATGTCAAACGATTAAAGTTGGAAATGAGGAATCTTATGAGATAGTGATTAAGTTTGGAGTCCCACAAGGCTCTGTGCTGGGTCCGGTCCTGTTCAACATCTACATTCGCTCTTTGTACTCAGCAGCACATGATTTGAACTTCTCCATCCAGGGTTACGCCGACGATCATCAGCTGTATAAAAGTTTCAAGCCAAACGAGGAGCCCACCGTCCTTATCAACGATGTTCCCAAATGTTTCCAAGAAATTAATGACTGGATGAAAAAACATTATCTACAGCTCAATGCAGGAAAAACTGAGATTCTTGTCTTTGGGACACCGCTTGTTCTCCAGCAGCTGTCCATAGGGGGCGTGTTTGTTAACTCTGAGACGTGTGTCAGGCTGTCACCTGTTGCAAAGAACCTCGGATTTCGTCTCGACTCTCAACTAAACTTTGGTGAGCAAATCAAGCAACTTAAAACATCGTGTTTTCTGAAACTAAGAGACCTTGCTAAGATGAAAACTTTCCTCACAACCAAACAGATGGGAACACTGACTCAAGCAATTGTAATCTCATCGCTTGACTACTGCAATGCACTTTACTACGGTTGTAGTCAAGCCTCAATTACGCAGCTGCAGAACATTCAGAACCGAGCATGCCGTCTGGTTTTTGGATTAAAGAAGAGAGACTCAGTCGAGGAGAAGCTCAAATCCCTTCATTGGCTCAAGGTGAAGGAGAGGATTGAGTTTAAGTTATGCTTACTGATTTTCAAAGCAGTCAATGGTGTTGCTCCTGCATATCTGTGTGATCTAGTAACATTTGTTAGTTCGAGTAGCAGAAGAACTTCCTCCTTACACCTACCCGTCGGATCTACAAGATCACACCCAAGAGCATTTCAGACTGTTGCTCCGAAAATCTGGAACCAACTACCAATTGAAATTAAGACTTGTTCCGATGTTGATCTGTTCAAAACATTATTAAAAACTCACCTGTTTAAGAAAAGTTATGGCATGAGCGATTAATTGACAATATAATAACTTTATGTTATTTGCTTAAACTGTTTAGGATGCAACCTAATGTCATGATCTTTTTGAACTTATTAGCAATTAGACTGTTAGCTCGCTTCACAAGCATGTCATCTTCGTTCCAAAACTTTTTATGTCCTATGCATACACTCCTTGATAATTATCTTGATCTAGTATCTTTGTTTCACACAATAGAGCATAAGTTTTGTGGTTTATCCACTGGGCTTAGAGTTTGTGTTTAAGCTACCAAATTTTATTATTATTTATTATTTATGGAACTATTCAAAATTCTTAAATTTGATGTCCCCCAGTCGATTAAAGATCTTTTCAAGTTCTGTCCTAGAAATGAAAAACTTCGTCTGATTGTCCCATTACTGAGGTTAGATATCTCCCAACAGAACTTTTTGTACACCTCTACGAAAATTTGGAATGACCTCAGCCCCTATGTATTCGAAATTTGTGATGCTAATAAAGATGGGATAATAATCCCGGGTTCTTCCAAGAATTCAGACTTGTCAGCCTCGTCAGGTATTATTAAATCTAACCTTAAAAAGCACTTGCTATCCCTCCAAAATCGAGATGACCCTAATACATGGTAACTACTTTATATTATATCTCAAATTCTAAATCCGGTACGGCTCTGCACACATGATATCTCTCTCTGCCATGAAACATGGCTAACCTTTTAAACTATAATTTAAAACCTAAACCTAAACTAAAACTCAACTGGGCTCTCCTATGTCACCAAACTAAACCAATAAGTAATTTTATATTATTATATTTTTCTATATTTGTATAACAAGTATATTGACGTAGTGGATGGTTGAGGGGGTTTCAAGCACAGGTCACTCTCAAATCCTAAAGATAAACAGTGGCCTTCGGCACTTGAAACCTCTTCAAGCCTCCCCTGATTTATTTATTATTGATATTGTTTGATTGTGCCGTAAAAATAAATATTTGTTTTATTAAATATTTGTTTTATTAAATTAAGATATGAAACAAAGATTTTTAGAATGTATTGATTATGTATCAGCATAGAAATTGGACACTAACTGGAAACGTCCAATGTGTCAGAAAAAGAATGGATTCTTTAATTTTATAGTTAAAAAAATATCTGATCTGATCTCAACATGCTCGAGGAGATGTAAAATTGTCAAAGCGAAATGGATTCAATAAAACAAATATTTTTAATAAAACAAATATTTATTTTTACGGCACAATCAAACAATATCAATAATAAATAAATCAGGGGAGGTTTGAAGAGGTTTCAAGTGCCGAAGGCCACTGCTTATCTTTAGGATTTGAGAGTGACCTGTGCTTGAAACCCCCTCAACCATCCACTACTATACGTCAATATACTTATTATACAAATATAGAAAAATATAATTATCTAAGCTAAAATTGCTTATTGGTCTAGTTTGGTGACATAGGAGAGCCCAGTTGAGTTTTAGTTTAGGTAATAATATTGCAATATCATATCTTTCAATATATTGATCGGTAAATTAGAGTAAGATTTTAAAAACAATAATGAATAATTCTGATTTTTTCGATCGCTCATTTTATCGTCAAGGCTTATAATGTTCAAGGGAAAGATGATAGAAGTAAAAGTGAAAGTTTAACCTAGATCTGGTAGTGAAAGTGAAAGTAAAAGTGAAAGTTTACCTAGATCTGGTAGCGCTCTCCATCTTTACCTCCGCTTTTTCTACTTCCCCATACTTCTCAAAGTAAGCCTTTAAGGACCCTGCAAGAGGACAACAGGTTAATAAAACCATTTTATTTCGTTTGGTCATCTCATGAAAATTTTTTGAGTAGTATAGTACTTTAGTTGGTAACTTGACAGTTTACATGTATTATAAAATTGATGTGAAATTAATATCGCAATAATTTACAAACTGTGAGGTTTGGTCGGCTGACTAATATCATGATTTGTTATAACAATGAACAATGAACAATGGATAATGGATAATAATTTGATGTAAAATGTATCTAGGAACTAGAATGTTATGTTCATAGCTTCATAGAATATTCCTTAGATAGTAAGTTGCGGTTTTAAGCTAGAATGTTTTTGAAAAATAAATATTCCGCACAAAAATCATTTGATGGCATGGTAATTAGACGTTAACCTGTGATTAACTAATTTAATATTAGTATCATGTGTGCTGTGCGATCATGATTTACATTTGTTTGTTGTCGAAGACAGCTGAAAAGCTTTTCATCGGAATAAGCTTTTTATTCTCACTGTAAAGCACCCGTGAATTATTAGGTTACTAGCCGCCTTTACTCCTTTAGCAAATGATTCGTCTAATTGTAGTAGTTGTACATCAATATAAGGTAATGGGACTTAGTATTAATCTGTGCGACTATAATCTGTACAACTATCTGTACAACATTCGACCTCTGCCTGATCCAGAAGATGTCACCATTTTACCTTCACACAGACATCAAACGCTGTAAGAAGATGACGATCTCAGAGGTATACATTATTGAACCTAGTGGCAATTGCATAATCAAAGAAAAGCCTCTAGAATTGAATGATCCTATCACCGACAGCAATAGATCTTGGGGTGAATCGTTGAAGAACTTCGTGGTGTATTTAATAGATTTTGTTCTATTCTGATAGGTCGACAACGTCGACCAAACAAATGCACGAAAATGTCACGTGTTAAATGGAGGCACCCAAAAACCTTCTTTTGTCAAGAACCCCCTTAAATTCCGAAATTGACAAAACGTGACAAATTGGCAAATTGGAAAATGTGACAAAAGTGTTTGAAAACCTCGGGTTTTGGAGTGGACTTAAGTACTTTTTGTCAGAAAACAACAGACCATTATATTAAGAGAAAGTGTTTGTATTTCCAAGTTCCCGCTCTTTTGAGAGGCTCTAAAGAATAGGCCGTTATAATATAATAATAATAGTTATAATATAATATAGCTATACGTATAATATAGTTATAATGTAATATATAGTTATAATATAATATTAATAGTCTCCACATGATGTAATGTGTTCCCTCAGTAGCTGCTAATAATCCTAAAGATAAGGTGAAGTCTATTTTATTTTTAACACATTTTAAGTTAAAAGATTTAGTCAAAGTATATTTGGAAGGCATAATTAATGTCAGAATACAAGATTATGTACAATACCACTACGAATCACGATGAACCACTATCGGATAAAATTTACCAGTCGATCACACATGTGGAAATTGGAAAGTTCTCGCCCTGTTTATCGCAGTGTAACGCATGGTATTCTGAAGAAGTATTCGTGACTGTCGTCAACACTGAATAATTCAGGTCACGGACACAAAACGTGACCGTCACGGACACAGACTGACAAAACGTGAGCCGTTACAGCACAGGGTTACAAGGTCACGAATCTCTGATAGTGTGTCACAGTTCCGTCTCACTTTACATAGTGATCTCTGTACATGTTGTGATGTTCCGTGTTATTCTATGATGAGTGTAGAGTGTAGACGCTATAATTGACTGCTTTCAGTAACAATATAGCCCTATCCAATAGCCCTAATAGCCCTATCCAATCATCAACAACTGATCACACAAACGGTTTCAGTTTCATATTCAGATTTCTAACACCCCTGCACCCAAGTTGTGACTTCAGAGAATTTTATTCGAGGAATGTACAGCAACTCAGTGGGTGGTAGGAAGCCTCAGATAATTATTTATCGGAACGATCATTTTAACGGTAAAATAATGAACATAGTCCACACTCGACAGTATCTTGTACTTGGGAGAATTCTGCACTAACAAAAACTCTATCGTACGTTCCAGCATGACAATAACTTAAAATTAAAGCCTAAGCAGAGTTTGATAGTCGATACATTTATATTTCAGTTCCATGAACTAGTTTCAATTCAAATACTCATTTTGATTTTCATCTTTCTTATTTTCAGAGTACAGGAATGTGCTGTGGTCTGGTGTAGACGCTATAATTGACTGCTTTCAGTTACAATACAGCCCTATCCAATAGCCCTATCCAATCATCGACAACTGATCACACAAACGGTTTCAGTTTCATATTCAGATTTCTAACTAACGTATGCGCATGGTGATAAATGTTTTTAGTTTAACATTACATTATATCTACAGCTAACCGCTTCTAGATGTACAATGCGCATACAGCTCATCATGAAATGGTAGTCCCCCCGCATAGCAAACCTAGATGTATTATCTGTTGATGTTCTAAGTAATCCTATAGAGACTACAGAGGTATATTCCCCGGAATGCTGTGACGAGCATTCCTTTTATTCATTATTCACCCAGATTTAAGAGGATTAGCAACAGTCTCATTTAACATGATTCCCATCTTACGAGAATAATATCTCCGATAATATCCCACCACCGACCAGGTACTAGGGGAGGTGTAAAGTGTTAATCCTAGCCACAATGTGAGGGTGTAAAGGTATGTAAAGGTATGTAAAGGTATGTGTTAGGTATGTGTTAGGTATGTGTTAGGTATGTGTTAGGTATGTTAGGTATGTAAAGGTATGTAATGACTAATATAATGTGAGACACCTCAGCATGATGAGCAGGGTGATCATGAACTATACCTCACTCATGAGGTGTAAGAGGAGAAAAGAATGTACACTACCCGTTAACACAGTGTACCCACTCTCTCAGCTTTGAGGGACTAAATACCTTGAAAGCTTTGTCAATTCATTGCGGTTAACTTTAATATAATATAATGTATTACACTGAAACTTTGGAGCTTGGGGCTTGTCTCCGATTAATTATCATTTCTGAACAACTCTGGAATAGTTTTGCCATTCCTGTGGGATATGGCACCTGGTGAGACCCAGGATGCACTACATGTGAAGAATTCGTTGTAACTTTGTTTGAAAAGCATTAATATATTATATCAACTTTATGTTATAAGGTTAGAATATATAATATAATAATAATAAATTGAAATTCAATAACACCGCTATTAAGATAAGACTTTACTCAGCAGTGTTTAAACTAGTCATCCCAGATAATAACATGAATACTAAGTTAAGAAAAGTAACGTCTGCTTGAAAATATATCGTCAATACTAAAGCCAGAAAATGGTACTTAAACATATTATGCAAAGATCAAACACCAGATAAGACAAAGATAGTTATCGATAAAGTTTTTCAAGTTCATCTAGGGACAGTTTAAAAAGGTACGTTTTTAGAAGAGCTTTAAAAGATTCCAGAGATTGAGCCTGAAGAGATAGTAACCGGCGCGGCAGATGATTGTAGATCTTTGGAGCCAGGACAGAGAAGCTACGCTCACCAAACTTTGAATTACAAGAAGGAACAATGAGTTTCAGTGAGTGAATATGGTGAGAGTACTTGAACATGTCTTGTAGATAAGTTGGAGCCAATCCTAACAGTGACTTGTGAGATAGTATTAAGATTTTGAAGACAATTCATTTCTTTACATCTAACCAGTGAAGCTTGATCAGGTCATCATCAAGATGGTCATGTTTATATTTACCAGTGACAGCTTTTGCAGCAGCATTCTGAAGTAACTGGAGCAGAAGCTTCTCGCCGATACCAAAGTATAGACCGTTACAGTAATCTAAACATGACAAAACTAGACTGTTAATGATGATCTTAATCTGATTGGGGCTCAGTATAAATCTGATTTTTCTGATATTACGTAATGTATGAAAACATTTCTTCTTGAGATTTACGATCTGTTTATCAAATACCAGCCGATTGTCCATAACTAATCCAAGGTTCTTAACAGTAGGCACAAACATTACCAAAGTGTTAGGAGCTATCTCAACTCCATGAAGTTCCATCTCATTGAACACTTATATATATATATATTCAATAGCAAGTGTTACATTCAATAGTAAGTGTTATAACTTACATGTATAATAGTAATACAATATTAATATTCACGACTCACTTATATAGAATATTATATTATTCATAGTGTATATTATGTATATTGTATGTGTATAAAACAATTCCACCTAACTCACACTTAGACTACAATATAATAAAAATGTATCTCAACAGTTCATTAATTTTGAAAACTCGCACTCTGGAAAGTTTAGAATTTTCACATTCTTAAATACATAATCAGACGAACGATTAAATAAGTTAATTTAAAGAAATCGTTTAAATATGTTAAACTTTTTATTTAACTTGCTCAATCACACTAAGTACACTAAGAACATTTCGTACGGTATTTGATCTGAGATTAGAAATATTTGTGCTAGGAGAAGCACGAGAAATCTGGAATATTCAAGATAGAATATTCAAGTGCAGCTGGCGGAGTAGCAGCTGCACTATTCCTCCAGTATTTCTGGTACCATACGTGTACTCTATTGAGCTGAAATATAGCTGTACTTACTGATAAGAGCATCATAAATCACGTCTTAACCGTTTTTAAGGCTTTAATAGGGCAGAGCCTTAAAAACAGCAATGCCCATTTGACCAAAAGTTGAGGAATTAATGGGACATGGGGTTGCCCCCCCCCCCCCCCCCCCCCCCATTCCTGTGATTGTCTCCGCCCCTGGACCCCTGAACCTTCTAGATCACAGCATGTAATTACGGCGACCTGGCAGCTGGTTCAGTAACAACCACACGCCGTGCGAGGAATTAGTTATAAAATCGTCAAACAACGCTTGTACCTCTATTGCTGTAGCTCAATATCTCCGGGATCTGATGAACTATGAGGGAAGGGTAATGCGGTGTGCGGTTACTGTTGTATGTAAGGGTAATGCGGTGTGTGGTTACTGTTGTATGTAAGGTATGTAAGGTATGTAAGGTATGTAAGGTATGTAAGGTATGTGCGGTTACTGTTGTATGTAAGGGTAATGCGGTGTGCGGTTACTGTTGTATGTAAGGGTAATGCGGTGTGTGGTTACTGTTGTATGTAAGGTATGTAAGGTATGTAAGGTATGTAAGGTATGTAAGGTATGTGCGGTTACTGTTGTATGTAAGGGTAATGCGGTGTGCGGTTACTGTTGTATGTAAGGGTAATGCGGTGTGCGGTTACTGTTGTATGTAAGGGTGTAAATGGTGCCGAACTCAGTAGTTTTAGTAACGGCTTCTCAGCCGAGTAGGGGCTAGCATCTGCTCAGGACGTTATTATTCGAACAGGTAATCAGATATGACCGCATTTTTTATTTCAAATGAAAATATGAAGATTCGATAATGTTCTGTACAATTCAATATTTCAATAAAGTCTACCCGTCCACTCTTGAGTCTTAAAGACTTGTTCATATTATGATTTAATACACCAGATTCGAGGTCAGCTTATGTAATGGGAATTACTGTTTTACTTGATAATTACCATCGCCATTTACATTGCTGCAAAAAGTGATATAAAACTGTTGGATTGTATGAGGTGAGAATTATGATACCGGGCAAATGGAAAGAGTAATATTCAGTTACCGAGTTACTATACAGAAGTAAAGGTGTATAGTAGTTATTCCTGGGATTTATATTATATTATAACAACTTTTAACACTCACCATCCCTCGTTGCAAAGTTCAGAGAGCTAACGTATATTTTCCTGAAATTATACAGATAAGAGGAAATCAGCATTTAGCATGTCTATTTAAGTCAAGGCGTAATGTGACCAAGACTAGTGTAGGGTAGACTAATTTTAAATGAAAAACCGTCGAGGGCATGAAAAATAGACAACAGTGTGCAGCACAGAACATTCAACGAAGCGAAATTATCAGCAAACTAAATAGCGATTATAAACAACGGAAATAAACAGCAGTCATAAACAGCGGTTATAAACAATAGCTCTATGAACAGGATTAATAACAGCTATTTACCTATCCTCCGCATAATCCACCCAGTTTGTGGGAGGTCTATCTACCAAGGTTTCGTTGTGTCCCTCCAGTCCCTCCACATTTCCATTCTCTTCTTCGTGTTCTGACATCCTGGCCTAGAAACACAGATGAAATTAGAAACACAGATAAGATGTATTATACTAGCTAACTACTAGCTGTGAAGTCTTAATTGTGCTAATATTCACAGAGGGCTGTTACTGACTAAAGTAATGCTTAAATTTTAGGAAGATTCAAATATTAATACATGTTACTGAACGGTATTAAAATGAATACAGCTTATTATATGTAAGCATATTTTATAGATTTAGTTGTTGCAACCGTGTTTATTAGTGTATGGGTTCTTTTGCACTCGAAATAACTCATTACATGTCACATGTGTCTATATAATATAATTGGACAATTTTCCTTGTCGCATTATATAATACGGAATTATCAGGAATTTATCAGAAACATGTCTATATTATAGGCACGGTCCAGATTTACACCATCAGATCTGTCTTATCCATCTGCTGTAACCATTCTCACATGTTGACCTAACGAATTAATTCTAGCCGATCTAGAGGAATCCTAGATTGTCAAATTAAAAGATTAGATTACAAGCTGAAGGAGTTCCGAATGATCACGGCCACGGGCAGAAGGAAAAACAATTAATTCGGAAACGTATCACTATAAAAATCTCATCACATCAAGTCGAGGCAGAAACAATCACACGAGAGATCAACCATACTGCCTCACCAACCTTATGGGCTCACCAACTCCAGGTATACTTTCAGCTCTAACTTTCTACAGCTGCTAAGCCTTTATCAGTCATTATCTTATGGCTGTTATCTTTGCGTCCTATTTATAGAAAGTTCGGGTTAATACCCTGAACTTTGTTTCTTTAACTTGATAATGAAAAAAAGGAAATCTAGTACTTTTTTCCATTAATTAAATCTTTGTTTGAATATCAGATAATGGTTTATACTGTATACTAAAAACAAATTAAATCAGTTATTTGCATAGATCATCGTTTTTATAAACAACTAAACAACTTTTTACTTTTAATTCAAATCCACCTCTCAATTCATTTTTCAGAAACTTTTGATCTGCTTTTCAGTTCATTTTAGTGCATAATAATTGTCAGGTAAACATGGTTTGTTCATCAACGATATCATTCGACAAAGAAGAATCATACAAAATGACATAAGGGAGGCTTACTGTGGCAAGCTATCAAATAATGTGGAGTTTCATGGTAGCCATAGCATGTAAGTTGCAACAAAAGTTCATTTTTATTCGACTTACAGGAACCCAAATAATCATTTTTTTAATCAATAAATTCATTTAAATACAAATTTCAACAGGTATATCATTGATTGTCACATCTAAAGACAAAAACAATGGTGCCTGGATAGAAATAGAAGTGGGTGCTCGCTACCCAAGTGGACCGATTCCATCAAAGCAAACAAACAGCCAATTTTTCGAATTCAAAATGAACTCGATGAGCAATCAGGGGAAATTGCACATCATGACAGTTCAATTTAATGCAGGAGATGACGAAATTATGGAATTCACAATTACGGAGGATCCAACTTCCATGACAATACAATTATCAGGATGTGGGACTGAAATCATTGAATTTGGAAACAGGAATCGTCGGAAAGAGAAAGAAACCATCTATACTTTCGATTTCCCCCTGAAACCTTTAAAGGATGGACAGAGAGGGTACATTCACATTTCAAAGAATGAAACCCCATTTATGTCACTTTCTAACAAAGATTGCGTGGCAACCTCACAAGGGCCTAAGTGGTTCAATAGTGCAGGATGGTACTCAGGATCTCTAACCTTTCCCAGCAATCAAGAGGTTCACCACATCAAAATGATGCAGAATGACGATCCTGGTAAGTTAGTTGTTGTGTTGAACTCAGGATTCTGAACTTGAAAATAAAAGAGATGTAATGATTAATTTTGTTATTTCATTATAAGTTATTTTTCTACTATTAATGGATCATGGTAGTATTCAAGTCAATAGTGATAACCAGCTGCTAAAAAGGGGGAATTTTGGCACAACATTACATAACTCCTCATAAAAAGTTGCATCAAGGGCTTTAAACTACGTCGTAGCCTGTAATAAATATAATTTTTGGCAAAGTACCAACTTTTACAGTACTACTATTTTTAAGGGCATAGCAGATCACATATCTAATTCAGTGGCGTAATGAAGGGCCCGCTGACCCCGCTGTGCAGGGGGGGGGGGGGGCAGTCTTAGGGGGGCGCCAATTCGTCGTTTGAATGTGGGACAATTTCGAAAAACTTAACTAAAGTACTAGCAAAACTGCGCATTTTGCTCTAGAAACACACTTTTTTAGAGATTTTACCAGCGTATCCTCTAAAATCACCTAATTTGTTCAATTTTAGGGAGGGGTGCCAAAAGGGGAGGGGGCGCCAACAGGGGGGTGCTTTTTCAGCGGGGGCGCCAACAGGCAAAGTTACGCCACTGATCTAATTGCCTCAAAGCAGACAAAATTTTGTACTTAAAGAATTAACTTAAGAATTCTCTTCCAGTCGATGGAGGTTGGAGTGATAATGATGATTGGTCAAACTGCTCAGTTTCCTGCGGTGGAGGTCTTCAGTCTAGAGTAAGATCCTGTAATAACCCTGTACCAGCTAATGGAGGAGCAGACTGCGAGGGAGATGCCAAAGAGGAGAGACCTTGTAACACCAACCCCTGTACAGGTAAAGAGTCTAATGTGCTGATGTGATAACTTAAGGTTCTAATTCAAATTGTGATGGGTTTAGGATATTCAGCGATAATACTTAGCGTAACTTTGTCCCCGCTACTGCACAAGAGTGGGTGCAAAATCGAACATTGCTGGACTTATGTTTTAAAATGACTGAATAATTCAGAAATGAAAAGAAAGGTTTAGAGTATTTTCTATTACAGACATAAACTCTGCTACACCCGGCTAAAATTCCTTTGGAATATGATTTTCATCATTCATGAATACACAGGGTCATCATTGTAATTCTGCACTTTCCATATATCATAAAGTATGATATGATGTACAACCACAAGCATAAACTAGATTAAGACCTTTGCACTTTGCTAACAATATTTATACACACGCTGTTTTATATTTCTATTTAGCAAAAGTTTGTGATGGAGTGAATCACTTAACAAAAACATATGTAAGGACAGATAATATATAAATGATGATATAACAACAACTGTCAACTAATTATATGATAGAATAAACGAAATGTTTGGGTATGTTAATTTTTATCTATCATAATTTTGAATTTATTGAAAAATGTATTCGCAAAGATTTATTTAAAAGTACACCCTAATAACTAAGAAACATGTTTGCATTACACAATTTAACTAAGATATCGAATTTCAAGATTACTGGGCCACGCTCAGCCTGTCATTCCGCCTAATCTCTATTTTATGTTAATAAACATGATAGCCTGAGGTCCCCAGGTAAATTTCAAAATTGCAAAAGAAAGTATCATACATTTCAGATTTGGTAAAAAATACAATTGACAATGAAACTTCGTAATTTGTAAAATCTTGATTGTTGATAATTCGGAGAATTGGATCAACTTTGTTTATAACTAACACAACTTTCATCATTAGTCCATAAGCGCAGCCCATGTAGAGTATCACCCCATGCACCACACACCCGTTAAAACATAAAAACAAATTTGATCTCGATTAGTCGATTCATGAAGTTTGATAAAAAATTACTACAATATGCGCGCAATTTAATTTGGGGAGTGTGTTCCCCACACGCAATAACTAATGCTCTTATAAATACTTTAATTCATTGTTTGTTCCGTTATTCTTTTTCCTTCCTCTTTTCCTTGTCATCCCCTTTAGTTTTAAGATTCTTGCTATAATTAATGGCTACAGCTAACATTATTAATGCTAAGTACCAAACAACAAGTGGGAGGTGGATCGTTGGTATACCATTAAATAGATTTAACACCGCAATTCCAGTCGCAAGCCTGGGACCACCACTAGCATAGTCACAACATCTACAAAGCTGCCATATAGCCTGACTGACAATTTTCTCGACTGACTGACAACGTTTCTTCTTTTTCCCCATTTAGAATACAAGATTAGTTGCTCTAACCAGAGCCCTCTCGCTTGCAGTAGCGCGCGACCGCCGTAGGCATATATTCAACTTGTGAAACAAGCGCGTCACGCAGTACGCGTATACACATGGCTATGTGAACAAGATTAGCAATTAGTACATTTAGGTTATGATTAATATTATATTTTTACCTATAGTTTACCTAGATTCGGTGGATATGTAACATGCGTGCGCCATGTGGAAATATAACTCCAAACTTGCGCCTAATTTTAATTGACCATTGTTAATGATTTGGCCCGGCGCGCTACTTCGTAGCACTTGCCGTCGGGCCAACATTACGAGAAGAAAGCGGCGCGCGCTACTTCGAAGAAATTTGGACGAGTAACATCCGTCAACAATTTTAAAATACATTTTTTGGATCGGAATGTTGAATGTGGATTTATTTTTTTCTATTTAAATCCTCCGCGCGGCCGGGTGTTTACTGCATGTTTATTAATAAGATTTTACAAAATTTGGGCAAATGCGATTGTTGTGATTTAAAATAAGTGAGATCAGCGCTAAATTAAACATTAAAGCTATAAAATTAAACATTTTATACATTATACTAAACGATAAACGGTGGGGAACCGGAAATGGAAAAGCATAAATGATAAATTAATGTTGAATATCTAACAAATATTAAATGGTTTTTTAATGGATAATGATTAATTACTTTTGACTTTGTAGCGCGATGCGTTACTGTGCCGCGCCGCGCACTCAATGAGGCCGAGGCTTCTCACAGATCGGCTAAACGGGTGATACTCGTAAAATATCTGTTCCATATATTGGACCGTCGACGAGTCCAACTCGGCGTGCGTCCTGGTAGGTTGTAAACCTACAAAGATCTGCGAGATGCGTTATCTGGGGACCTCAGGCTATCATGTTCATAAAATAGAGATTAGGCGGAATAACAGGCTGAGCGCGGCCCAGTAACGAAATGCGCTATTGCGCCGAGCTGAGATGAATTAACATCGTCAATTAACTTTTGACTTTGATCTGTGATATAAACTTGACTGTCACAGTGCCAGTAATATTTTAACACGTTCGATCTAGTTCAGTGGCCACTGTACTGGCGCTACTTCGTAGCACGTGTCATCTTGTAGCGCGATGCACTACTGGGTCGCGCCGCGCATCAAATAATCCTACTTCGGTAGATCGGCGAGATGCACCACTGTGCCTCACCGAGCTGCGAAGGATTAACATCGTGAATCAAGTGCCATCGGGCCATTTCGATAAGAAAGCGGCGCGCGCTACTCACAGGAGGAGCAAAGTGCAAAGAAACTGCCACAAACTGTTACTAACTGCTACAAACTGCCACAAACTGCCACTAACTGCTGTAGCAGTTAGAAGTAGTTTGTAGCAATTTGTGGAAGTTTCTTTGCACTTTGCTCCTCCTGTGTACTTCGAAGAAATTTAGACGAACAACATTTGTCAAATTCTGGCCAAACAAAAACTTATACATTATACAGACTTTCTTATTTGATTCACGATGTCAATCCTTCGCAGCTCGGCGAGGCCTTGTAGGTTCACAACCTACCAGGACGCTTGACCATTGTTAATGATCTGGCCCGGCGCGCGCTACTTCGTAGCACTTGCCATCGGGCATTTCGAGAAGAAAGCGGCGCGCGCTACTTCGAAGAAATTTAGACGAGTAACATCCGTGAACCAGGACGCGCGCCGAGTTTGGTAAATATATTGAACAGATATTTTACGAGTATCACCCGTTAAGGCGAGGCCCAGTCACCAAAGCACAGTGGTGCATTTCGCCAATGTACGGTTGCGAGAAGATGCGCGGCGCGGCCCAGTATATAGTGCATCCCGCTATTGTATAGCGATGCGTTACTGTGGCGCGCCGCGCACTCAATGAGGCTTCTCACTGCTAGATCGGCGAGATGCACTACTATGCCGCGCCGAGCTGCGATGAATTGACATCGTCAATTAAATCTTGACATACGTTGCATGCTTGACCATTGATAATGATTTGGCCCGGCGCGCGCTATTTCGTAGCTCGTGCCGTCGGGCCATTTCGAGAAGAAAGCGGCGCGCGCTACTTCGAAGAAATTTAGACGAGTAACATCCGTCAAGTTGCATGCCACTTTTCGCGCGCGAAGCCGAAGGGATACGAAACATGCATCAAATTAAATCCCGTGCTACAACTTTTTATTGCTTCAACCAGAGCCCTCCCGCTTGCCCAGCAGACCTTACCGGCTAGCGCATATTACTACAGGGTGTAGCGATATTACTACAGGGTGATTGCCTTTTCACAGCTTGTTGAACTCCGCGCGCGCTCGTTATTTCATTGCATTTGCATGCTTCAATTATTCCAAAAATGCAATTGTACCGCGTACCACGTGATACGATTCAGCCAATCAGAGAACAACAATCCGCAAAGTTAAAGCTGCGCAGTTTTATAAGGCCAAAAATATGACTTTTCGGAATAGTTCAAAATCTACAGCGTTTTTAATTTTCCTCCTTGGGGGAAACGTTATTTTTACAAGCTAGGCGAACATTTTGTTGAAAACCAAACGTTTCTATCTCTTTTACTTCCAAAGTTAGGCCCCTAACGGTAAGGTTTCCTGGGTGCAGTAGCGCGCGACCGCCGAAGGCGGCAAAGGCCATATTATAATGTACTTGTGAAACAAGCGCGTCCCGCAGTACGCGTCACGCAGTACGCGTATACACATATATGGCTATGTGAAACTTTTTTATATAATATAGTTTATATCACATGATACGATCTAGAAAACGGTTTTTAGCTGATATCTCGCTGATATCTCGCCGATATCTCGCCAGGAGAGCATTTTAAGTTTGTGTAATTGTCATGATATGTGGGGTGATTCAGAATCAGCATTAAAAATACGTCAGATATAGATTTTAAATTGGGCTTAAAGTCAAAGTACCTTAAAATGGGAAAAGAAAAAAGGAAGCTCCAAATGTTTCTTCAATCACCCAAATAAATTCAAATTCAAATTGTGTTAAAGCTAAAACTGTCGGGGTTTTTTTAGCTTGCTAGTCTATTGCTCGCTCCTTTCAGTCTCGATCGTATATGAGAACAGATTCAGCTGTTCACAGTTCAGAAAGCTTGAAAAGCTAGCGCCGCGCACAAGTGACAGGGACTGGCGTGCCGGGTATAATCAATAATATAAAATAATGTTGGGGTATGAAAGTGATTTAATTTCAAATTTGAAATCACCCCCCGATGACGTCGGCTAGAATGCTTCTCCTAGGTTGCTTTACTTGATACTGTATACTGCAAGTGCAAGTGCATGCTGGTGACTTGGAGGACTTCGCCGCTTCGACGCGCCGCGCGAACTAGCATTCTTGCTTCGCATCGACGAGCAACGATCTCGATGGGTTGACATCGTCAACCAAACTGGTGACTGGACGGCGCTCAGCCTAGGTCATTCTTCCTTAGCTTCAATCGCGATCGTGTTTATGAACACTATTACATATTAGCTTTAATAAGCCTGGGTCCCCAGGTAACCCTGGGCCGGGAGTTACGTGCAAAAACAGTGTTTCGGATTCTGCAATGAACAATTAAGAAGACTTCAAACGATGCTACTTTCATTTGCTCAGGGCCCTTCTTATCTGTTATCTAATTTTGTAAAAATTAAAAATTCAAGGCGAGTGATTTCGTGGGATCGCTTTCTGGAATTCCTAGAATTCAAGAAGCATGAAATTACCATCATCGATATTGGAATGAGATACCAATCGTGAACTAAACGTGAAACAGGGTTCTTTAAAATTCAGTTAAGTGTTCCTTAGAATGGTTTTTCTTTCCACGTACGTTAATTGAATTTTCCAATTTTCTGAACGATCGAATAACGAGTTGCGCTTCCTCTAGAAGCTTCAAGAAAGAAACTACGTTTCCCAGCTGTTTATGAGTCAATGGAACGAACATGATTATTCTATAACTATAAGTATAATATGCAAGTTTAATATAAAAAATGTTATTCCAAAGCGCGGTGGTATATTTTCCTAGTGTTACATACTCAACCTGCATAATCGCATAACTCCACGTCAACTACTGATGTTCACCTGCTGAACATCTGGTATAACTGTATTCTTCATTTACCATCTTTGGATTCTGGGAGAGGCAGAGGCAGACATCCAGCTTGCAGATTGTCCACATTTTGTTAATAATTTCGAACGGGAATTTTCCAGGAAGTTGATGAATTATTGTTGATCAGATTTATTTTTATCATTGTCAGTTAAATTTATTTGTTTTGTAACTGTTAGTCTCAGGACGATAGCAGAAAGCCCGTTTGTTAAACGAGTGCTTTAGATTGAAGAAACTATGGCTGACATTATGTACTATACATTATGTACTATACATTATGACTTTTGAAACACCCTGTACATATGTTGAGCTTCAAATAAATTAAATTATACCCGTTAATCTGGTGAAATGAGATGTGATGCAATTTCTTAGTAGAGAATAGAGAAGTTTGCATTGATAAATTGCTGCTGTATTGATGATGAGTGACATTAATAAACTAAATTAAACAAATTCCATTTATTCACAACCTAAATCTTGATGAATAATATTAATAATAGCAAATTGGTAATTGAAATAGAAACACAGCCAAAATTACATAAATCAAACTGAATACTTAATCATACATACTTGTAGCGCGGTATCACAGCAGTAAAAATACAGCAAAATATCGTGCCACCGTGACATTGGTGGATCTAACTCTAAGGACTGCTTCACACAGTAAGTTTCAAATAATTTAAAGAGAAACAGCGTCAAATATAGGTTATTTAATAAATAGTTGTGAAAATAATGACGTAGTTCGTCAAGTCAGAGAGAATGGAGTTTGTAACAGATTTTGGCTCGCGCTAGCTTAAAGTAAAACTAACTTATAATTACCTGCTAAAAGTTACACTTTTTGTGCACAAGTAAGCTGGAAAATTGGACGATGTTAGTTTTAAGGAGACAAGAATTCAAATGATCAGCTATACAGAAACAGACAAATCAATTGAAAGTGGTCTCAGATGATTAACAATAACATTGACCACGGTGTTCTTAAGTTTAAGGTTAAATACATTTCTTCTTAACAGCTTGATGCTCTCCGTAGTACAGAGATTATAAAATTGTTCATATTCACAGCAAATAAATTACTTTCTCATCAATCAGTGTTTATCTCATATCCGAATGAGAATGGATGAATTGTTTTCTGATAATTGATAAAGTTTGCTTTCCCAGACAGAGCGGGTTAAGCAACCGTTCTTTTATCACTGTTTCACGATAATAATCCTGGTGTTTCGATGCATCCAGTCGCGGATGATGATGTCCTCAAGTTCCACTGGAATATTCGAGCAGTCTCGGGGGATATTATCAAGATCTTATCTTGTGGTCGAGTTGAAGGGCTCACTGTTCAGCTCTCTTTGATGTTGGACTCAGGGGTTACCAAGGGAGACGGTACAGGGGAGGGTGAGGTAACCATGGAAACAGGATTGTTACATTTGTTGGTAATCAGCTCGCAGACCTGCGAAACAAACTGGTTTTAGTTTAACTTTACAATCGGACATCACATCTTCAAAACAAACAGCAGGATTTGGGTTAGAATGTTAGTTAAATAAATAATTTTTTTACAGAATAATTGTATTCCCAGATCACCAAACCCCTACCTTCACAATGAGATGATGTCTCTTCAGCTCTATTTCAGCTTCCCTCTCCACTCTCTTTCTCTCCCTTTCCTCCTCCAATCGGATTCTCTTTTCGTTCAGGGACAGGAACGCTTGGTCTCGCGCTTGAAAATACTCCAGCAATTTATCTGAAAATATTAACATTTACTTTCCCTTTTCTCTTGCATTTTTTCCCACCACGTACATTACTTGGATAAAATGCAAAAACGCAGAACAATGAACTACATCCAGTCTCCTGCAACACGTCCAGAAACTCACCAGTGATGGTGGAGCACACTCTATCAAGGTCGTGGTTAGACACCCCCACAGTGGTGGAGTGAAGAGAGTTGGTGACGTTGCTAGCTGTGGTCGTGGTCCTGTTCAACAGCTTGAGGTCCTGGAGTGAGTTGTAAGGACCCGGCAGTTTTCCCGGGACACTCAGTGCGTGGAGTTGAGACTGCGTCAGGATATTCTGAGGGAAGCACGGCATTTAGCACAATCACACTGTGTTCGAGGCTGTAACAAATACATTTCAAAGCCGCAAGGCTAATTTAATGAGTAAGATACCAAAAAAGCATATTTGGATTATTTTGATTTAAAAGATTGATTGAGGCTATAGATATATTTGCTCAATTAAGGAACTGTACTGATATGAACCATTGATAGATCTTAATACTGGCGGGGAGGGGAACCTCAGCGACTGTGGAGTTTGATGGGTCGAAACAGGAAGCTATCTAGCTAATAGTAGTGGTCACGTGCTAGAAAAAAAAACAAAAAACTGTAGTTCGCCTTTCCATATATTGGGACCATGATTCATGCAGATAACCATAAGAAAAGAAAGATAAGAATAGAAAGTGAGAACATATAATAGCTAACAACAATATAATAGCTAACACCATTATCTAAGAGGGTGATCACCCTTACCTGCAAGTACTCTTCAGTAGAGAAGTTGATGAGACTAGGAGAGGCAGGACGCGGTCTCTTATTGTTCTGGGGTGTCCTGGGCATGCTCATTGGAGGACTAGCCATGGTGGACATCAGAGAGGAGGGCACCGTCGTCTTGCAGCCTGGTGACCTGGTGGAATTAAATGTGTTATGTTTTAGAATAGTCTAGAATAGTCTAGAATAGAATAGTCTCTGAAATAGGCTAGAATAGTCTCTAGCATAATCCTGCAAGGTATGCGGCATTGCTAGATATTGAGCCTACTTCTTTACACCCAAATATGGATGAAGTATGAGACTTGAAGGTATTTGAAATGATAGGTTTGCATCTTCAAGGAGCCTACCCCATGGTGGTGCTATCCGCCATTTTAGGAGAGGTTTTGGAAGGAGTAGACGTCATCGTGTCAGCTTTGAGGAGCTTCATTAAGGAGGCGTAGTCTACTGCTCCTAGCTTGTTGTCTGCCAGACTGGTCATCGGCTGAAAAGGAGGGTGGTTACACGATCAGTCAGTAATTAAGAGTTTCTAATGATTTGTAACTGAATTAATAGTATGTTGAAATAACAATTTCAATGGAGATTTTCTGAATTAGGTATTATATTGCAGCTGCCAAAAATTTAGCCATAGGTTATTAAATCTTTAATGATAATATTGTAAACAAATGGCACTACCACAACTACATCGGCCAGTGCCATAGTTCAACAAGTAGAAAGCAGGTGTTTTGAAACCATGACAATTCACAGAAAATCAACAATAGAATTATAGTGAACCATCTCTAAACCAGCTGTTGAACCGCAAACCTACACACTGTAAAACACAGAGCTAATAAACGTAAAACAAGCACTAACCAGCAAAGAGGCAGGATAGGAAGCCTTGAGCTGGTTCTGAAGTTGGGACTCTGCCAACTGTTCCACGAACTGTTTCAGGTGGTCCTGGTTGACATTACTGCTGCTGTTAACAGTGTTGTTGTTGGTGTTGTTGGTGTTGTTACTGTTGTTTTTCTCCTCGTCTGAGTCCCCCCGTTCTCCCTCTAATACCAGGTCCCCGTCGCTGACACGTGATTCTTCGTCACTTTCCACGTAGCTCTATAGGAGAGTTACAAGTTATATTGGGAAAGTGAAGCTGGGTAAGTTTGGACTTATCTTGCTTATCTAGGTTATTGACGGCTTGTCCGTTATAACAATAGAGTGAGTTATGTCAGGTTAGTTTGGAAATTTTCGGGTTAGCTCTTAATTCTTGCCAACATACTCGCAGGACCTGATATTAATTGTAGGTGTTGATCTATTTCTTTTCAAGTATTTCCCATTCATAATGCAGGTCCCTCGAAGTAAAAAGAGGAGCACTTTTCTCAAAGCACCAATCAGATAACAGAACTAACAGATCTACTCTATAATCGCAGAATCGTCGTGCAAATATTTGCCGACTCAAAGCGGGCCTGGTAACAGCAGTTTTCGGAACACAATGGGAAGCGCTAAGCGCAATTGCGGGAGATAAAGGGCACAAAGGGGGGTGGCAGAGGGGGGTGCTCGTCAAAGCACTCAGGTATGGGCTAATGGGGAGGGAGCCAATGAGAGCAGCAGACCCACTATACCCTCTACAAAGCAGCTTTATAGCCCCAGGCACTTCGTCAAACCCGCTTTTAGATCGAGTCTTGATTTGCACTGCACTTAAGTCGAGTGTGATTGGGCGGGACCGCGTCACGTGGATTGCTAGCTGCTACACGTGCAAACTGCATTAGACCACGTGCAATATTCTCTAGACATTTAGAGGCGTTTTTTTGTTAAAAGCACTCTATTGTCCCAAGGTATTGATTTCTCAGGTCACGCTGTCACTCAACCAGACAACGAAATTTCCATTACGCCGCGAAGCTGTATTATCATAGAAACATTAGCGGAGGCCCATTGCGGCATTATTAAGGAAGTGTTGTAGGGCCGTGTTAAAATTCCAACTATTTGAAAGGCTAAAAATAAAAAGTTGGTTTCGGTGCCCCAGCATAGTTTTAAGAATTATCTGAGTTGAGACACAGTTAATAAACTGCGGAGTGACTAAAAAAACAGAAGCCTTTAACCAAACACTCTACCTAATGCTCTAATGACTCCAACTACCGTAACATGTTATACCAGATAACGAGAGATAACTTTATCATATTGATCATAATGTCTTTCACAAGATATGGTCTGAATACCATTATGACACTCATTTTATTTGCATGACTTTATCTATTTTGCAAGCAATATCATGTGCAAAACTACCATGTAACATCCTCCGGGTTACATTAAGTTTTATAGCTCTTAAGTTCATAGCTGAAGAATTTTACAACGTTAACCACCTTGCAGCGAGGAGCAGGGCTGCCTAACGACCTAGTGAGCATCACACCGTTTTAGCTGTTAAATAGATAATGGAGCACCAATCGACTGAAGTTTTACCTAGTCTAACGAAGGTATATATATTATATATATACGGTGGCGGGGTACTAAAAGAATAATGATTTAAAAGTAGATCTAAACTGCACCTGTTCAGCCCTCATCGTCATGGCAACAAGATAGCCCACGTGACATCCCCCCGTCTTGTGATTGGTTAGTTAGCCCACACCGCCAGCTCCCATTGGTCAGCGAGCCTATACGGCGGAGTTTCTTAACACCAGATTAGACTTAGTGGACATTGTTTTTCAGAACAGAAGGACACCTCTTAACAGATAGCACCTGATATTGCAAACAACATGCCCACTCGATAAATGAACGATTAGCAAGTCATCTAAACAACATATGAGACGAGTTTAAGCAGCTCTAATTCTGGAGGGAGAGAGAAAGGACACGACTAAAAGGGCTGGACTGAGAAATATGGCGAAGATTAGCAGTGGTTATCGGGGGAGTGTCAAATACAGGTATTGGTTAGGTTTGGTTATTGGCGAATTATGATGGAAAGTATTCGGTAGAGCATGGCATGTCGCAGATTCTAAAATTATCAATTTTGCTGACTAGATCCACGGGTAATTGCTTACCTTCTAAGACATGTCACGTGACTGAAAACAGAGTGGAAAGATAGGCTGTGCTAAGTTAGGAAGTACGTCCACATAGTAGGTGGCTGTGTTTGTTATCCGGCAAATGAGCATTTTGAATTCTTGAATTCTGATCAAATTCCTGTACCATCTTAAAAGCGGAGCAGCCCTATTATGTAACTAAAAAAGTACAGGACACAGGTGCCTTAGGAGTAAGGATCTTTAATACTTGTGATTTGAAGACTCCCGGTAATGGTTTACTTAATTGTTTCATTATAAAATATGGTATTCGTAAAATGACGAAAGTTCAAGTAAATCCGTAAATTGGTGAATTAGAACTAGACTTACAAATGTATTTGACTACATACGTAAGATACTAATTGCCCCACCGGTACCACACAAATCAAGAGAAAGCGAAAACGGAGTCTCGGCTGGGACATTTTAGGTGGTTCTAGCAAATGCGGTGAGACAACTTTGAAACTATATACTCTATATAGATCCGGATTCAGAGAATATTGTTTCAATTGTGGCAGTGATTATCATACAGCTGAGCACTATAGCTGCTTTCAAGGGTCATCCTAAAAAGTATTGGGCACAACTCACTAGACAGTTCATAAGCAAGTTGCAGACTAGTGTGCTGTATGAGACAGATAAATATACGGATAATATGGGGCGAAGTGTTTCAAATACAGCACGTTTGATAAAAAAGCTTTTAAAAATTACTGTCCACTACTTGATCAATCGGTCGATGATAACGGGAGAAAAATTAATAAATCTTTTGTTTAGGGCCAAAAAAATGTCACGTGATCTCACCTTGCAAGCGTCCTTCTGACTGAGCACAGCATCAATCTCGTTGTAGAAAGCACAGTATTGTGGCTCATTTCCGGGCTGTCTGTTGTGGTTCACACATCGGTAGTATGTGCTCTTCAGCCTGGAGAATAGTGGGTTAGTTTATTGACAGGTAACTACTATTAAAGTTGCAACTAAAAATAAAAACTATTCCTCGTTGGCTGTAATGATTGTAGTCAGACTATAAGAGTGCCAATCAGATGGTACTTTTAGTCAGGCAACATTCGAATGGGAAAATATTTAGTTGTTTTAAAGTAGCGATCAAAAATTCAGAGTATGAATCTTTATTTTTTATTATGGAGCTCGGTTTGTGCTTCTTCTCAAGAAAACAAATATTTTCACTTCGGATCTCAGAGCTAAGCTTTGATACCAATTATTCAGACAAGTAATAGTTTCAGTTCAGGAATAATAAACATGCTCTGTAATTCCTCAGCTTCATGGCCAGTTCACGTTAACAAAGCAAGATTACCCGGACACATGGAAACCCAAGCCCAAGATAAAACAGTCTGCACAGAATGCGAGCTCAAAAGCTCCCGCAAAGACGGATATAAGCACAAAGCAAGCCCAGGCAAGCTGAAACAGACATGTGACTAGGGAAATAAGGAGGATGGAAATCCCACCTGTGCATCAGCGCCTCGCACTGCTTGGCGTCTCGACCGTAGAAACCGGCTCTTTCCAGCATCTTACCCATCTCCTCCCACAGGGGCCACTTCCGGGTGGCTTTCTTGAACTTCTCCTGCATGTCCGGGGCCGACCAGATACTTACCTGAAATAAAACGGTGATAGTTAGCATAAAATTGTAAGGGAATCAAGACAACCGAAGGGAATCAGGATAACCGAGAATCAGGACAACCGAAAAATCAGTTGAAAAGGAGGAAAAGCTAAATTTATCAGGAAAACTCAAGTAAGATACAATTTTCCATAATAAAGCTATAAAGCTTGAAACAAAACCCACCAAACAAGCCTGTTCCTCATTACTCCAGTTGGGGGCTCGCTTGCGTGCCTTCTTCATCAGTGCGCTGGACGGCAGTATCCCCGCGGGGGTGTACTGAGTGAGTTGCTGCGCGAGCGCTGTGGGTAGCAGTACGTGCTGACCGTCCTGAAATGGGTGAGGTTTAGATTAGAGGTTTGTGTAGAAGTGAAGGTTCAGATTGTGTTTAAAAGTGCGTTTGGGCATTCAGTTTTGTTAAAGAAAAGGTAGGAGTTTGCATATACCTAAATTTGTATATTTATAGACTGCAAGTGCACGGCTTTGAGACTTCGACACTAAAAATAGGCCACTAGAAATTGACGGGTCGTTGGCTATGGCAGACTTCTCAGACTGGAAAAAACTTTGCAGGATTCATAATGAGAGAGGACTTAGGATTTAGATCCATCTTTAAAAGTGTACTGAGGTAGAACTAAAATACCTTGATACTGGTTGCTCTGAGTATAGAAAAATTGAATCTTCAATCAAGGATTGGAAGAGTGCTAAGCTATGCTCGATCGTGCAATTCAGAAAAAGATTGCGGAGAAGAATGGAGATTTTAATCGAAAATTTCCAGAGACAAAGTTAGTACGGGTCGGGAATATTTCTTGAAATGGGAGTGAGTTCTTACAACTCTTATTTCTTTCATTTTTCATATTAATCATTAAGATTTACTAAGTATGAAGGAGCTTGAAATACAAACTGGTGTAAGAAGGACATTGACTTGAAATACTGCTCCTTTTTTTAGTAATATGCAGAAACATCAACTTTTTCTGTATGCGATCATATTTTTAAATACGAGCTCTAACTTATTCATGTTGACTAACTTGGTAATAAATGATAGGACAGATTACTAAACCAAGAGTTTGGACAAGGTTTACACTTTAAACACAGGAAAATTTGCATTTTTCAAACCTTTAATTCGTCCGACCTGCATAAAAAATCTGATATCCATGCAAGATCAGTATTTATTTAAAACATTATTCTTGGCAGAATATAAAGAAGAAAAAGAACAGATGACATGAAAAGCAGAGGTATGCAGAGAATGATGATACTAGGGCAGGAACATGTCACTAACAACACATCAAATGGAGCGTAGTCACATTGACGACACACCAAATGAACCTGCATGTCGTCAGTACGACGGGCTATAAAAGTGTCATCATTCTCGCAATAAGAGCCATGAAAACACTGAGGTGTTGTCACGACAACACTAGTGTTGCTAGGTGACAACACTAGCAGTAGCCTTGTCACAACATCGCCAGCGTTACCATGACAACACTGCTCAGTAGATATCATGGCAAGTACCTCGTGTTTTATGTAGATGAAGTCCCCGTTTTTGGTGTACCCGGTTGCACCTACGTCTTGTTTGAGAGGGCTGTTGACGCCCCCTGCCATGGAGGAGAGCAGACCCTGTACGTTGCTAAGAGCGGCGTTGTGTGCCATCGTGACTGCTGCTGGGAACAGGTTCATCGTTAGCTAATGGTTAGCTCGTTTACCTATAAGTCGGTAGAACGTTTTTATCTGATTCTAAATAAAAATCATACATGGAAAATGTAGTAAATTTTCAGAAAAGGCGAGGATGAGTCACAATACATATATAAACTTCGACAAAATAGATTACAAAATCTAAAAATATATTGAAACTGGACAGGAACGAATGAAAATAGGTTGGGTAAATACTGAGCTAAAGTCGGTAGAGCTGATGCTATATGGTAGGATATAAAAGGAAGGAGAGACAAAGTTCTACTGACCCCCTCCCACCCAACATGCATTAAAACAAAACTAAATTAATTCGCAGCTCGTTCTGGTAACCTTTAACTCGGTTTGTTTGCCCCCCGTCGCTAAAAGGTCACGTGACCGTGCTTTATAACGCACAGAACTCGCTCAAATCGAAGAAGCGTTTTCTTTTATTGACCTACTTAGTTCTCGAAATACTCACGTGATTGACCGAGCTGCGTCACGTGCGTTGTCATGACGCCACGTGACTAGCAACGCAGGACCACGTGAAACGGACGTACCAATCAGAGCACATATGGGGAGGGCTCACGAGACTGTGCGGGACCAGTGGGACGGGCGGAGAGACTAGCTGCGTGCTAATGTCTACCCATTGTTTTACCGCATTATACCCCCGCTCACTCTGCGCTGGTCAAATCTTAAAACCATTACTTCTAGCGGACCCTCATCACGTGATCCCCGTCCTTACGGCATAATAATTGGGTTAATAAGTTAGAAGGGACGAAAATCCGCTTGTTTTAAGAAAGTTGGCGTGCACGGGGAGATGGCTTAGATACAAGATGCAGGGCATTAGAAGGAGCTGTGATTACTGTAAGAGCAAAGCCATTAGGGTAGATAACGGAAACTCCTACGTGTTTACGCTACTTTTGTTTAAAACAACAGCTCTGAGTACCGTCGCCCGGCCACTCTGGAACCAACCGGTATTAACATTCAACCAAAAAGCATAATTAAGTCTTGTGGTATTTGGCCTTCGGGGTTACTCTCGGCCGCAACTACTGGCGATTAATTACCCTGAAATTTGATTTTGAAACTTCACGTCGAGATGAGGAAACCCAATTTATTCCACAAGCTAAAATCTGACAGGCAAGATGGGCTATTACAGATCATATAAACGGGGAAACTAAATCAATAGATCATGTTTTTAAATTTTTTTAGGATACCTCGGTCCCTTATGGTGGTTAATGGCTATGAGTTGACCACTAATCGTCGTAATCACAGGCCATTCTGATCAATTATTAGACCCAGCACTTTGAAGTGACAGTGAAACATTTCTTTAATTTTCGACAATTCTTGCCTAAACAGCATTAACAAAACGTGAGGATGAAATTAAAATTTCCCAATCTGCAGCCAACGGCCCGACACTCCAACATATCCCCAAGAGAAGGCTGCTACAAGTCAACTCCTAACTGAAACTCAGGGAGGAGTAAAAGTTTAAAGAGATGAGGCTTTGTTTAGGCTAAGATGCTTGCACATTACCCTGGATATAAACTGAACACCTTACAGAACCACTAACGTGGTTACCAGAAAAGGAGCTGTTGTCAGGTGAGATCACCAGATGCCCAAACTGATCCAATGTTACGTGTTAAATTAGGGCCGGCTTGAGCAACTGTAATTTGCTTGCCAAATCTCTAAACAAGACAAAACTTTATGGTAAACTACTGATAAGGGACTCAAATCATTTCCTGATATCAAGGATGTTGATTAAAATGATAAAAATCAATGGAAGTGATTAGGAAATAATTTAAGCTTTAGAAACTATGGAATTATCTATATTTCTGATGACCGGTGAATTGTAGCTGAATTTAATCAGATCGATGGACGATAGTACAAGCTGGGTCATTTAGCATGCTACATTCAAGCCCATCATATAGGAAGCCCAACCCGCAAAATTTAAAAGTCAGGAATCTGTGAAATAAGTTACAATGAAAGAAGTCGAGTCTTAAAATTTAGCAAAATTCGATCGAAAGTCGAGGATACAAGATTAAGAAAGCATTTACTAGTTGACGAATCTAGAAAACAAAGATTTTATTTAAAACAAAAAATGCTTTTTTCTCTTACAGTTACTCAAAATGGCAAAAAGTAAAATTAACGTTTCAATAGCTTACTTTTAGAGCCTATAATCCAAAGTCGAGATGATAGTGTACACAATTATTTGCTTTAACCAACGATTTAAACCAAAGCTGAAGGTCCTACCGTAAAATTACCCCCTTTCTTTCTAATCGCCCCACGATTCGCCAACGATTTCTCTAAATCTAAGGCATTTTTGAACTGACCGACAATGATAAAGCACGCATTAGGATTTGACAAATCACAAAACCCCGCAGTCACCGAAACATCAGGAAAACCTTTCCCGAGTGATAACACAACGCTACATAATGGACTCCAGTCTAACTAACATTGCAGCGTTATAAGTCTTTGCAAAGAGCACCTCAAGATATAGTCTAGCAAAAGCTGGCTTTAGCATTTCCTACTATTCTCAAAATATTTTCTCTCTTCAAATCTTTCTTATGAATTAACATTTCAGGGTAGATCATATCGGCTGATGACTCTAAAGTGTAACTTTTTTGTTAATTTCCTCCGTGAACTCGTACCAAGTATGATGTGATAACCTAGTTTTCAACCTTCAATCAGTCTCTTGGGCTTGTCAACAGAATGGAAAATTGTCATTCACATTGTCAGTCTAAACGATAATTATTGTTAACTACTTGTCAAGGCTGTGCTTACAATTGTCTAAATTGTCTAAATGATAAATATACAGGTGAGGTCCAGATCATTTTACTGGAAAAGAAGGAAATTCTGAAACTGAAATCTTACTAAAGCCGTTTATCGTGAATAAAATGAGTGCTTTTCATCAGTACCGAGAAACTGTCAAAAAGTATAAACTTTTCCTTGAGATTAAGAAAATACATTTCTACCAATACAGCGTAATATGAGGGAATAAAACAAGAGAATTGAGAGTAGTTTGAAGCAAATTGTGAATACACCTAACTATGGCTGGCACAGTTTAAATAAAACACAAGATATTTTCCGTCATTAGACACCAGACAAAACGAGACATACTTTTCACAGCGGAAGAAACCAATCTAGAACGAAACACCGTGGTCCCGTAAACCGTCTGATAATTAACCGAGTCCGTATAAAATAAACCCTGAGTAATTGAGTTTCAGCGATGAATAAACAATAAGACATTTAGACAGTTTAGGCTTGGAGATCTAACAATAAAAGTGACATTGATTCCCAGGACGGCATATTATGCCACCACGAAAGGTATGAACCAGATATTCAATAACTCAAATAAAAACTGGTCATGAGCTGATTTATTGGGGGTGCTCGGGTTCACGCTGCAAGTTACGACACGAACCGCTAGAGCAGGGCAATAACTAAAACTGTTGGGGAAAATAACAAGGAGTGAATGTCTTTCAACCCGGATAGCATGCGAAATAAAGGACAGGCATCAAAGGAAAGCGTTATTGGATTAGCAGATTAAACTCATGAACGTGGTGAGAATGTTAGTTTAAGGCGAGAAAATATCCAGAGTTTCACAGCCCTGAACCATCTAACATATGCTGGATCGTAGAAGTCGGTCCGAGCAAACTAATCGACAAAACTGAATTAGCAGCAAAATAGGAGCGAAGTCGGGTCCGTGGGCTCATCACAAAACAAATCCAATCAATAAGCAGGCAGAAAACGGGCCCTACACCAATCACAATGTAGGGTGGGGTAATTTAGTGACAAGAGGAACATTTACCCTAAACAGACCTTTGTAACTAAGCCGCATATATTAAAATCTTGTCACGCAGCGACCACGTGCGCGCGGCCCTCTACCACGTGACAATTCCCAACCAATGGCGTGCATGGCAACGACACGTGCGAGCGCGTAAACTTAAACCAAACGTTTTATTTCAAAGCAGTAGCGGTCGTTCTGGTTTGAAATTTTAAAGTAGGGACAATTAGTGGGGCTAAGTAAACAAACCTCTTTCGTTCGTATCTTAACTTATGTCTGCGATCGGAAATAGGATTTAGAAATGACACCATAGTTTAAAACGTGCCCATTCTGACGGGACTTCCTCCTTAACAAAACGTGATTCCCTGTTCGGCCAGTTTCAAGTCCTGTGAACCGTTTGCTGTATGACATTCCTGATTGCATCCTATTAGGCTTGACCGGGGAGATTGTTTACTCTAGTCTTTGTGTTCGGACTATACTACTATGGTTTTCCGTTTACGATATGAATTACGTTTGCACAGGCTAGTCCGCGGACTCTACCGTTATCGACTGTACCCGATGACACGTCATATCTGAGCATTGCTATGATTTCATTAGAGCTCTGATTGTTGCGGCCACCGTGACTTAATCATTTGGTTTATAGTTCCTCTATAGTTAACAATAGTGGTTTGACCAACTTCACCGCTCATAATCAAACCAAAGTGGCAAAGTGTCCTCCCCCAGACGTCAGATACCCCTTATACTGAGGTCGGTAACTTAAGTTGTCTGAACATTTCACCCTCTAGACTGTGATTATTACCAGCCTATTGCAACGTGAACATATTAGCATTGATGTCTAAAATGGTCTGACAGTTTGCTTTGTTGTTCCAGCGACTACTAATAACCCGGAGTACTCTATCTCTCTCTCTCTCTCTCTTTCTGGAGTACCTGCCCACGCTACTCAAGCTGCCCACTCTCTCCCGATCTCCTCTCAGCTGACTAAGGTAAGGTTTAATAATATAACCGACATAATAACGACACATCCCTCCAGTGTCCCTGAAGGGCTGTGTGGCAAGAATTTAATGCCAGGCAGGATGTGGCCCTGTCGCGGCCGCAGACTCAGCAAGACATGACAGCTGGTGTTTTTGTAGTTTCTGTTTATTAGTCCACTGTAGGTGTTCCCTGTCAAGTGATTATGGTAAATACCACGCATTTTTGTAAATTTATTCAGCTCAAAAATATCGAGCAGGCCCCACGCGATCGGAGGAAGCCTCTTTT